AAAATTCCTGTCATTGGCTTAAACAAAATTAGCCTAAAAGCAAATTATTGCATGGTTTCTTTTCTTTTCCTTTTTTCTTTCCTACTCTTTTTCTTTTTTCCTCCCTTCTTTCTTTCCTTTTAAGGTACAGGCTAAGAACTCACATTTTTTAATCAGACTCAGACCTTGAGCAAATGACTAAACTTCTCTTATTCTCTGTCTTCCCAGCTGTAAAATGGGATTGTTGTGAAAATTAAGACAGAGTACACAGGTAAAAAAAACCTAGCACAGCGCCTACACAACAAATGGAAGCCATGTTTATTGCCAGAGAAATTGTGTGTGGATTTTTTTCAGTAAAATGCAAGACTGAGGTTTTGAAAAGCAGTATCTTGTTGTGCATGAGTGTACATAATTGCTTCGAGTACTTCATTTAAAAATTTTTTCTAACAACATTTGATAATTGAGTTGCTGTTGGATTTTTGAGGTTTTGTTCGGAGGACTGTCTCAGCCTTAACAACTAATTTGGGCATTTCAAATTTAAGTAATGATTTTGTCATTTGGATATAGTTTAAGAAACTAAATGAGGAAAAAAGAGGGTATCCTACTGTATTTGCCTCAAATTCTGCAGGAATTGATCTTTATTTAGTTTATGTTTCACACACTCCAGCTTTTCCTTACTTTGAAGGATCATGTAAAAGTATCTTCATTTTGTATTATTAAATACATGTGCTGTGCTGTCCATCACTTGGTTGAGTCCTAGAACTCCAATACTGGGCATTTCACAGGGGCAAATGACACTTACTGAGCAGTCAATAAAGAGGTTTCAGGGCTAAACTAGCCCTTCAGATAGAGAAAAGTCATCATTTTCTAGAACCCTTTTATCTGTCAGCTGTTGTCTCATCTCAAGTCAGAGCCAAGGTTCTTAGGGGGCCATGAGAGCCAGGTCATAAAGAAGACTGGTAATATGGCTTTACTGCCCTGCTTAAGTCCTTTTAGGTGCTGTCAGATTTCTTTAGTCCTGGATCTGACTGGCATATTTGCCCTGTTTGAAATGAGGCTCAGAAGAAAGTATGGTGTCTATAATAACACAAGAATTTAAGGCATTGCCTATCCAAATATCTCAATCTTTATAAGGACTGAGCACACATTTTGTAAGGACTCTCCTTGGATAGCATGTTCATAAAGGTTGGTTAGTCTTTGAGGTGGCATTATATTTTGTTTAACATCCTGGTCTCATCAGAGCCTTTGTAACTCGTGTTGGACCTTCTTGCCCAGCCAACGAGATGGAGGAGTTTGCCGTGGAGTACAAGATCATCAACCCCAAGGCCATCACAATGGCGCAGCTGTATGGGTGCTTTGACCAAGTGAGCCACGAGTGGACGGATGGTGTCCTTGCCAATGCTTTCCGGGAGCAAGCATCTTCACTATCTGATGACCGCAAGTGGATTATATTCGATGGACCAGTGGATGCTGTTTGGATTGAAAATATGAACACTGTTCTGGATGACAATAAAAAGGTAGCTGTTGAGTCTGATATCATTTTCACATGGGTGAGATATAAACTCTTTTATTGAAGTGAGTAATTAATCAAAACTATGTAAAGATATACATTTATTACACTAAGAATAAATGCCCCACAAGAAAAATAACAGTTATGAATTCATGAGTTATGCTTCTGTTTGTACTTGTAGTCAGTAAGCTAAGCTAGAGACCATGTTGTATAGTGGTTAAAAGCCTTGGTGCTGGCATCGGATTGGACTCCTAGCTTCAGCAATGAGCTGTGTTGTATTGGGCAAGTTACAAAACTTCCCTGAACCTCGGCTTCCTCGTTTGTAAAAAGGTGATAATAAAAAAGGGTTATTGATAATTAAATGAGATGGCACATACATGGTACCTAATATATGGGCCATGTTTTGGTTATCTATTGCTGTACTTAATAAATTAAAACATCCATTTATTTTTCTCATGATTTATGGGGTAGGAATTTTGAAAGGGCTCAGCTGGGCAGTCTGTCTATAATTCTCATGCTGTCATCTG